CCCCTGGCCCCCCCGTACCCGGGAGTCCCCGGGGAGCGGGGTGGATGGGACCCCATGTGAGGTGTGTGTGGGGGTGGAGCACGGCTGCTTTGCACCCTCCGTGCGGCCCACCCGGGGCTGGCTCGCCCCGTGCTGCCCCAGGCGGAGGGACAAGGGCTGGAAGCTGCATGGCGTGAGCAGTGGGGGCTTACCCTGGAGCCACGGGGGGCACCGATGGGTCATGGGGTGCAGAGCCTCGCCGAGAGCACCCCATCTCGCGCAGCCCTCAATGGCCAAGTGCCCCTAAGTTGCTGCAGTCTCCCTGGGGGAGCACAGTCATCCCCCCCCAGCCCCTCTCCCCCCCATATGGGGGGTGCGTGAACTGCTGCGGGGGGGGGGTCACCCACCCAGACCCACCCTCTGTCCTCCACACCGAGATGCTCCCAGCTCCGATGTCGCTTACAGCAGCCAAACCCCTGCCCCATCTGCCCTCCTGGCTCCCTGCAAGGGCAGCTGCTGCAGAGGGGACCGTGCGGGATCCCTGCCCCCCTGGTCCGGCAGTACCGTGCCCGGTCCTGTGGCATGGAGGATGCTCTGTGGCTGGTGGCCAGACCTTGCGGGACGGCTGCCTTTGCCCTGGCAAGGAGAGATGCTCGGAAAGAGCCGGCCGTGCGGCGTTAGGGCCCTAAATAGCTCATCCCGCTCCGTGCCTCGGTCTGCTGGGGATGAGCTGGGTGTCCCGAGTGAGCCGCCGGCACCTTGCGGGGAGGTGATGGTGTCTGGGGACGGGTGAGGGTGGCAGCACTGTCCTCGGTGCGGCTCCACTGAGCCAAGGACCATTAAACGGGCATCTTTAGGCTGGAGGGTGTCAAGGACTTTCAGTCTCCACTCCGCCGGCACTGGCGGCAGCCCTTAATCATGCTGTTGAGCCAGGGCTGGGAGCACACGATGTGCTCCATGCGCCTTAATGACCGTAACGGGCTGGTGGGGACGTGTGGGTCGGGGACGGCGCCAGCTGAGTTATCAGCCCCAGCCAGGCTGAAGGTGACAACGGGGGGACAGGCGCGAGGCTCACCTTGCCGCCAGGCTGAGGACGTGCGGCCGGGATGTGCTGAAGGCTTTATCCTTTGCGTGTCCCATCCCAAAGCGCATTCGTTGCATCGCTCCAGGGGAAAGCAGGAGCCGTGCCTGGGCGGCAGGAGCGGGCCAGGGGCTGGCACGGCAGCAAGTCCACTGACGTGGAGGATGAGAGCGTCCAGCTCACGTCCCCGTGCCCTGGGGGGGAGGCCAAAGCCCCAAGCCCAGCCAGCTCTCGGCCAGGGCAAAGCCCCAAGCCCAGCCAGCTCTCGGCCACCCTGGCTGAGCTGGGAGCTTCCCATGAACCAAGGGCAGTGTGGACAGACGGGATGGTTCCGGGCATGTCACTGTGCACCCGAGTCCTTCCCCTGCCCCAGACTTGGTGCCCGCAGTGGCCAGCTCAGGCATTTGATTGCTGTAGGGTGCTCGCTGCAGGGATGAGGCTTTAACGATGCTGGGCACTAACGGGGTCCCATGATTAACTCTGAGCTCCCGCGGTGAGGAAGGCTGCGTGTGCCTTGCAGGTGGCTGCGTCCCCAACCCCTGCCTGAACGGAGGGACCTGCACGGAGGACGGCGCCCGCCTCGCCTGCCTGTGCCTGCCCGGCTATGGAGGCAGCAGCTGCGAAAGATAGGCCGTGAGCCCCCCAGGCCTGGCCCCGGCCGTGCCGGCTGGCCCCCGCCGAGCTCCCACTGCAGCCTCGGCTGCTCCTGCTGTGGCCCAGGAGACATAAATGTGGGGAAATCAGGTTTTGGGGTTTTTTTGCTTGCTGGTGAGCTGGGCTCCATCACCCTGACCCTCTCCTCTCTCCCCGTTTGCCCCCCCACCCCCATGGCTCAGCACTGGAGAAGTGCAGCCCCGGCTGGGACAGCTTCCAGGGAGCCTGCTACAAGCACTTCTCCACCCGGAGGAGCTGGGAGGACGCGGAGACCCAGTGCAGGCATTATGGGGGGCACCTGGCCACCATCCTGACCCCCGAAGAGCAGGACTTCATCAACGGTACGTGGTGCCGCCCCGGACCCCACTGCATCCCCCCACCCTGGACCTCTGCCCATGGGTCCCTCAGCATCCCTCAGCGCTGGGCTTCAAGTTTTAAACTTCAAGCTAAAAAGCAGCCGAGGACGCGGAGACCCAGTGCAGGCATTATGGGGGGCACCTGGCCACCATCCTGACCCCCGAAGAGCAGGACTTCATCAACGGTACGTGGTGCCGCCCCGGACCCCACTGCATCCCCCCACCCTGGACCTCTGCCCATGGGTCCCTCAGCATCCCTCAGCGCTGGGCTTCAAGTTTTAAACTTCAAGCTAAAAAGCGGCCGAGAGCCAAGGCAGAGCCCTACCCTGCTGTGCCAAGGGAGAGGCCGACACAGCCTAGGGAAGTCAAAGAAAATAAAGAGTAAAGGAAATAGCCGATATGATGGATTGAGAAAAGTGTGGTTAGATGCTCACCCGCCTCTTGGCTAGTGAGAGGTAGGGGAAGCACGACAGACAGCGGGATCGCTGGGCTGATGGAGGATGGATGGATGGGCAGGTAGATAGATACAGGGATAGACATGAGAGAAGACAGACAGATACACGGATAGACATGGGAGCAGACGGATAGATGCACGACGGGTGGACAGACCGGCAGAGGGTGGGACACGTGCAAGTAAATTTGAAAGCAAAGCAATAACCTGCCTGAAAGCAGATGTGGGGGGGAGAGGCGGGGAAGGCAGAGGGAGGCAGAGCAGGGGACAACAGCGGCAGGGACGGGGCAGAGAGCGAAGAGGCCTGGAGGGATGTGAGGGCGAAGGAGGAAGGGGCAGGGAGAGAGCTGGCGGGGAGCTGCAGGGCCAGGCAGGGCCAGGCAAGGGCAGGCAGGGAGCTGCAGGG